AAATGTTTCGCACATAGGCTATAATGGAGAAGTTCAAAACAGTCTATAACTTTGTCATTTATGGCCAGATTTGGATAAATGGATTTGCAGAAATGGTAACCCCTTCTGACGGCATGAGGTGTGCCAAGTTTCAAGAAGAGAGGTGCAGGGCCATTGGGGAAACTGCATCCCAAAATCTTGAGAGCCAAACGTGTCATGTGTTTGTGTTAAGACACAGTGGGGTCAAAACTACAGGAATGCTAGCCCCTGCTGACGCCACAAAGTCCACCAGGTTTCAAGGAGATAGGTACAGGGGGTTCAGAGAAACTGCATCCCAAATCCTGAAAGCAAAACTCATGTCACGTGTATGTGCTAAGCCACAGTGGGATAAAAACTGTAGGCTTGCTAGCCTTTGCTCAGTCCACGAAGCCTGCCAAGTTTCAGGGAGATAAGTATAGGGGTTTGGGAAAAACTGCACCTCGAGCTGCAGACAAGTAAACTCATGACATAGGTAACACTGTATGTGTTAAGGCGCAGCAGGGTGAAAGCTGCAGGGATGGTAGCCCCTGCTGAGGCCACAGAGCCTGCCAGGTCTCAAGGAGCTAGGTGCAGGGCTTCTGGGTTCTGGGGCCCTGCACCTCTGGCTGCTGACAGACAAAACTTGTGTCATGGGTGCTTGTGCAACTGTGTGTGTCTTGGGGCACGGGGAAGGGGAAACCACTGCAGGCCTGGCTGCTCGGCCCTGCTGCAGCCACTAAGCCTCCCAGCTGTCGAGGAGATCGGTACAGGGGGGTTCTGGGGCCCTGCACCCCTAGCTGCTTACAGGCAAAACTCTTGTCATGGGTGCTTGTGCAACTGCTGCATCTCATCAGGCAGCAGGACTGAAGATCCCCCATCAATTGCGACCACAGACCTGTGGGTAATAATTGACCACAGTATGAAGATGAGCCAGTAGTGCGATGCTGTAGCCAGCAGGGCCAACAATATGCTGGCATGCATCAATTGATGCATCTCCAGCAGAACCAGCAAAACCATTGCAAAGAAGTGATTCTCCTGCTCTACTCTGCTCTTTTCAGCAGTGGGGAGACCGCAGCTGGAGTACTGCATCCAGTTCTGGGCTCTGCACCTTAACAAGGATGTGGTAAAGCTTGAGACAGTGCAGAGAAGGGCTGCCCATATGATCAGAGACTTGCATGGCCAGCCATACAAGGAAAGGCTGAGGGACCTGGGACTCTTCAGCCTAAAAAACAGAAGGCTGAGAGGGGACTTGGTAGCAGCTTACCGCTACATCACAAGCGTACATCTAGGACTCGGTGAACAACTGTTCACCAGGGCATCACCTTGGCAAAAACTAGGAGTAATGGTCACAGTCTGGACACCCTTTTTGTGAAGTAGTTTTTTCTAATGTTGAGCCTGAAATGAATCTGAAGTGATCCTGCAATTGATATGTGCCAGTGTATTGTTGGCCCTGCTGGCTAGGGCTGTGCGAGGCTTTGGACTGTGCTTCGCATCTGGAGAAGGTTCAACGTCCAAACCAGCACGTCTGGATCAAAGAACTGGCTTCGTTAGGCTTTCCAAAGCGGTTTGGAGCTTCCAAACTAGTGCAGAAAAGCTTCGGAGTCGCCAGAGGGGAGCTCCACCTGCCTCTGGATGATATTTCTGAGTAAGCTACCTGATATCTAATTGGATATATAGCTTGCAGTAACACAGATGCATGATCAAAGGCTACCCAGCCATGCCAGTTTGCTCTATGAGATTTCTCTGATATTGCTCTACCCTGTACTCTATTCCAACCCTACCCCTTGTAACCAATAAAGTTCTCCTTTGTACCTATTGTGGGAGATTTATTGGGAGTGGGTCTATATTATTCCTTGGGGTCCCCTTGGTTCAGCTGACTAAGGGAGACCACTACATGTGCTTCTGAGTGAGGAAAGACCAACCTGATTGCCTTTTATGATCAGGTCACAAAGGCCATGGACGCAGGTGTCGCGGTGGATGTAGTCTTTCTGGACTTCAGTAAGGCCTTTGACACCGTCTCTCACCCCATCCTAATTAATAAACTAGGCGACTGTGGCATAGATGCCTACACAGTCAGATGGATTGCAGATTGGCTGAAGGGTCGCACTCAGAGGGTGGTGGTGGATGGATCATACTCGACTTGGGGGGAGGTGGGTAGTGGAGTCCCCCAGGGCTCGGTCCTGGGGCCTGCGCTGTTCAACTTCTTCATCAGCGATCTTGATGTTGGGGTGGAAAGCAACCTGTTTAAATTCGCTGATGACACCAAAATTTGGGGGGAGGTGAGCACGCTAGCAGGGAGAGAGAGATTGCAGAAGGAACTGGATAGGTTACAGGGGTGGGCAGACAGGAACAGGATGCGTTTCAATACGGACAAGTGCAGGGTGCTGCACTTGGGTAGTAGGAACCAGCAGCACACTTATACGATGGGGAACTCCCTACTTGAGAGCACGGAGGCGGAAAGGGATCTTGGTGTCATTATTGACTCCAAGATGAACATGGGCCGACAATGCGAGGTCATGGTTGGCAGGGCTAACCGGACCTTGTCGTGCATCCACAGGTGCATCTCGAGTAGAGCCAGGGAGGTGATCCTCCCCCTCTATGCGACGCTGGTCAGGCCGCAGCTGGAGTATTGTGTCCAGTTCTGTGCGCCCCATTTCAGGAGGGATGTGGACAACATGGAGAGGGTCCAGAGGAGGGCCACCCGCATGATCCGGGGACAACAGGGCAGACCCTACAGTGAGAGACTGCGGGACCTGAACCTATTCAGCCTCCACAAGAGAAGGCTGAGGGGGGACCTGGTGACCGTCTATAAACTCACTAGGGGGAACCAGAAGGGTTTGGGGGAGACGCTGTTTCCCCTAGCCCCCGCTGGCATAACAAGGAGTAATGGGCACAAGTTGATGGAGAGGAGGTACAGATTGGACATCCGAAAAAACTACTTCACAGTTAGGGCGGCTAGGAGCTGGAACCAACTTCCAAGGGAGGTGGTGCTGGCCCCTACCCTGGGGATCTTTAAGAAGAGGCTGGATACTTACCTGGCTGGACTCATTTGAGTCCTTGAGGGCCTGTGTTTCCCAGGATGCACAGAGCCAGAATCAAGCCCAGCCCTGGGTGGTGGCAGTGGAAACCGCAGGCTAGTGGGCGTGCTTCAGGAAGGGGGTCGGCCAGACATGAGGTGCCCCCAGGGAGGCACTCGGAACCTGGAAGGTGGTTGGGCACAGTGAGGTGGGTGGCTCAACATGGGACCACCCCCTACTTGCCCGCCACAGCATCAGTGATATGATCCATGGTGACTCAGATGACAATCAGGAAAAGAGAACATCAAAATAGCTTGATGCTATTTTTTCACCTGCACCCTCCAGTTCCTGCAGTTTTGATAAATGCTGTGTACATAGAGGCATTGTGATAGGAGAGATGACTGAGCCAGTCCCTGGTTATTCCCACAAGGGTATTTGTATACTTTACTCCCATTGGTGGAAATGAACCATCAGCTGGGGCTGCAGGTGAAGACTGAAGAGTTTTGGAAGCGCTTGGGTGGACCTGCTCAGGTCAGGAATTGCTGGAGCTGAAAACCAAGGTATGCATATAGAAGAATGAAAGAAGTCTGTGTGAGGAAGTGAATAAAGTCAGGGCACTAATAGATAGGGGGGGAAATCATGTAAGCAAGGGGGGGAAATATGACAATAGGCTATGGCTCTACGAACACTTCAGGTGTGTAATAAAGATCAGGGGAAATGTGGATTTTTTTTTAATGGTGAGGAGGGTCAGGGAAAGGTGAGGAGGGAAGGGCCTGTGAGCAGATTGCCCTGCAAGTGCCTTTTTAAGGGGACATCTGCACAACTCCCACCCAGTAGTTTTGTGTGACTCCTAACTGGCACCTTAGCTAGAAGTCCTTTATAGCAGGGGTTTTCAACCTGTTTTAATGCATGTAGCCCCTGTGGCTGGACACGGAGTAGGGGTGGGGGTTGGCGTGAGGCTGGATGTGGAGTTTGCTGCCGCAGGGGTGGCATGGGTGGGGGTGGGGACAGGCGGGTGTGGCGGTGGGGATGGAGTGCTCCCTGGAAGGTTGTGGCGCTCCATCCCTGCCCACCCGTGTATACCCCCGGTTGACAACGCCTGCTTTATAGGACTAGTGCAGCAATTACTTACGGGGCTGCTACACCTCTTATTAACCCCTCACTGCCTTGTGCTCTGGGTGCTGGTACCTGCAATATGGACCCATCAATCTCAAAGCTCTTGGACTCCAGAAAGAAGCTACTCTTCCCTTGGCTGGAGCTGGAGCTCAGTATTGAAGTCTCCATTGAGCAGCCTGGCTGGTCATATTCAGTGCACGAAAAATCACCCTGATCATCGTCTAGT